ATTAACTTGCTCCCTCCTTTATGCCTTCAGAGTGAAATCGTCAGTGGTTTTATAAAAGGGAATCTAATTCTGAGTAGCGTTTACATCATCTCTTGCCATCCTAAGCGTGTCAGAAGTAGTGAGCATTTTAAAAATTTTGTTGCTTCTACCTCTTCCACATTGGGTAAGTTTTCCTCGTGAAAACAACTAGAGGCTCTATTTCCGCACGCCATAAATTCTAAATTGGGTGAATGAAAATACACCTGCTACAAAGTGAGTGAAATCTAGTGCCATATCATGTGTATGGGAAGGAAGGACGTGAAGAGGGACACTTACCCCTCAGCCGACAACATGGGAAAGATCTGGTGCTCCCGGGCTGAGCTCAACTCAAGGAAATTAATGCAGAGAAAGACTAGTTGTACAGCCCAGAGCGCAAGTCTGTCCAGCATGGTAAATCTAATGAGAACATTGAAGAAAGGGCTCCATCAGCGTGAATCAGTACACCCAGATCACAAATCAAATTCTTTCTGGCCCACACATTACCACCCTCCTGTCTGGAGATGAATTTTTGCAGAAGAATTCTTGGAAGAACTGTTTTTCTCTATTTTCTTTGTGGTTCCCTTCATGAAATCTTCCATGAATCTTCTAGCTTTATGTCTTTTTTTTTTTTTCTTTTTTTCCAAAGACCTTGCTCCAAAGCATGTGCCCGTAATTTTTTTACCAAAGAGTGCCATGGTGAAAGGTATTTTAATGGTAGTTCTTATTTTTCCACTATAGAAGATAAATACGCATATTCAGTGTGCAGTCACTAGAAATAAAGGGGAGAAGGATAAAAGTTACCTATGATCTACCATCCCAGGTCTAACTGCTGTAAACACATTAAGGTAGAGAAATGACGCTCACCTGGGAATGATTTCACCCCCCAGGGGACATTTGGCAATGGCTGGAGACATGTTTGATCCTCAGGACTCAGGGGAAAGGTGCTGTTAATGTCAGGGGCAGGGGAGAGACCAGGAATACTGCTAACCTTCCTCCCATGCACAGGGGAGTCCCCTGGAGCAGAGAGTTCTCTTGTCCAGAATGTCAATAGTGCCTAGGTTGATGAATCTTGGTGTAGAATTTTCCAGATACTCTCCATGTTTATAGGTATATGCTTTTCCCAAAAAGAGGGATCATATTGACCTCTTTTATAACTTGCTCTTCTCACTCAAAAAATATAACAATCTTAACTATACTTGGATTAACTTTATGAAGCATCAGTCTTAGTCAAACTAGAAACTGTTGAAATGGCAGATTGTGAACTCTTTTTTCTAAATTTAACGCTTTAAAATTGTTTTAGTCAAACAGCAACCAAAAATTGGAGTTGTTAAGAGCAAAGTGCCGTGAGTCCTTTAGAGATAACTGAACCTTTCCAAAATGTCATTTCCTGAAAATCACTACCTCTGCAGAGCGGCTGGTTGATTATTAGGTGGTCATTTATCTGCCCTTTGAGGTATTGGCCTCCTGTCTTCAGGACCTTCGGTGAAAGTGGTTGAAGACAACCTTGCTCGCACTATTAAGCCTGGATGAACACTCATGTTTCTCACTGATATTTCTCCAGTCTCCTTTACCTGTAGAAGCTGCGAGATTTCTTTCTTGCTCTGCTAGCTTTAGTCTGTAACAGATTTTCCAGTTGATTTTCCTTTCTGAATGCCAGTAAAGATGCCAGGTTAAGGTTCATATTGCTACATCCAAGGCTTCAGAAAGAGGTGAGGGCTGTTGTGTTATGTTGTCTTTGTGTAGGTAGAGGGAGGCTCCTTCTGTCCTCAGGAATGACTGTCCGTGTTTCTATCTAAGACCTGTCTCTGACTCTTTGCTAAATTTGGAAGCAAATGAGGTATTTTCTCCCTTATTTCCTCAGCAGATTTCTTTTGATTTCTCAACCTGTTATTCTCTGGATTAGGTGGTACTTGGAGGCTTCCCACCAACTCAGAAGACGTACATATGGCTCATGTTTATGTTTTCATACGCAGGCCATTGAGATAATGAACACTGATGGGAATAAATACCATCCACCATTTGCCTGCCACTGAAACTGCTCTCTGTGGGACATATAAATTAGCCACTGGTCTTCAAAGCCTCATACAGTTAAGATAGTTTACATAGTAATCCTTCTTTTCGTGAAGTACATTCTTCCCCATTCTGAAATTGATTCAAAATGCAGATACTTCAGGATATTAGATGTTGTGGTGGGGGGGTGGGGGGGAGAGAAACAATGGGAATTTTAATCCCAACCCCCAAAAGGGAGGCATGGGATCTTTATTAAATTCGTTGACTTTGTGCTTCTAAAAGAATTTACTAACAAAATTGACTAACAATTGACTCATCTTACTAACAATTTGACTAACAAAGATACACGTGAACAAATGAAAACAAAACAAAACAAAACCCTAGAATTTCTCAAATTACCTGAGTGATTGATTAGCACAAGGATCAGGATGTTGTACTGACTAGGATAGACTCTGTAGCTAAGAAGCTCGGTCCAAAGTCCAGCCCTATCTCTTCTCAGACTTCTCACCTCAGGCAGGTTACTTAACCTCTTTGGACCAAATTCCCTCATCTGTGAAATGGGGATAATAATTATACCTACCACATAGGGTTGTGGAAGGTTTAAATAAATCAATACATTGAAAGTGCTTGGAACAGTGCCTGACACAAAAATAAGTGCTTGATAAATGTCAGCAATGGACAGAGCGCCAGGAGACATATGCAAAAATTTGCATAGAAGTATTCATTGAAGTATTCAATGAA